ATTGAGAAACTTCCCTTCCTTTCCCGTCCACATAGCTCCAAATCTATCCATTTATCTACGAATACATCTATCCAGCTATATGAGAATCTACAGGATACATCTACACATCTATCCATCTATATATCTAATAATCTGAGAATCTATCTGAGGTTCTATCTGTACATCTGAGAATCTATCAATATATCTACAAATATATCTATATAACTGAGAAGCTAACTATTTAAGAATCTCTACTTTTGAATGCGCTGGAAACGGCAGCAAGTCCCAAAGTAAGCTAACTGAGCAAACCGAGCTAACCGAGCTAACTGAGCTAACTGTTTCTGAAGCAATTGTTTTGTGCTTTACAATTGTTTTTTGTCCTGTTTTTTTCTACCTGTAAATGTTGCTGCAGTTCAGTGTTTATGGTTTTACACTGGTCCAGACCAGAGCAGAGAGGATTCATGGTTTTACACTGGTCCAGACCAGAACAGAGAGGATTCATGGTTTTACACTGGTCCAGACCAGAACAGAGAGGATTCATGGTTTTACACTGGTCCAGACCAGAGCAGAGGGGATTCATGGTCCCAACCAAGTGGATCAAGCAGAAAAACAACTGGAAGAATGATAATTTTTTTGGAACAAATCATTCAGGATTTTGTTATGGACCATAAAGGAGAAATTGGTCCGAGGCAAGGAGCTACACCCCTCTGCTGCTGTGAGCTAATATTAATCTTGTTAGCTATAATTGTGCATATATTTGTTTTGTTTCTTTTGATTGGATGTGTTTCTACAATAGATGTGTAATCACTCAAACTTCAAGATCATGCGTTTAATTCTAAATCCTTTGGGGAGCTACCTGAAAGTAGCCAGCGAGCTACTATATTAGAAATGATGTGGATCCCAATTACTTCTTACTGCCTTGTTGAACTACAAACAGCCGCTGATTGGCCGATTGTACTTCCTGGTTCTCAGAGCAGTTTCTTGGACACCTCCGCTAGTAGCGGGAGTGAAATGAAAGCGTGCAGAGTCAGGAGGTGGCATCAGTCTGGCGACTCGTGCCGAGTGTGTGAAATCCTACACTATGCATTAGACACAGAATAAAAATGCATAACAGATGTTCGGGCTCTCCCATAATGCGGTTAAAATGACAACAACCGCACAATGCTGCAAAACACCTTCTATATTCCACAGGGAGAGAAGACAGACACACAACTATGTCTATAAAAGGAGGATTAGGTTGATACGCGTGTGTGTGTGAGCGTGTGTGTGTGTGAGAGAGTGTGTGAGAGAGAGAGAGCGTGTGTGTGTGAGTGTGTGTGTGTGTGAGAGAGAGTGTGAGTGTGTGAGAGAGAGTGTGTGTGTGTGAGCGTGTGTGTGAGAGAGAGAGAGCGTGTGTGTGTGAGTGTGTGTGTGTGTGAGAGAGAGTGTGAGTGTGTGAGAGAGAGCGTGTGTGAGAGAGCGTGTGTGAGAGAGCGTGTGTGAGAGAGCGTGTGTGAGAGAGCGTGTGTGAGAGCGTGTGTGAGAGCGTGTGTGAGAGCGTGTGTGAGAGCGTGTGTGTGAGAGCATGTGTGTGAGAGAGCGTGTGTGTGTGTGTGTGTGTAGAGAGCGTGTGTGAGTGAGAGCGTGTGTGAGAGCGTGTGTGTGAGAGCATGTGTGTGAGAGAGCGTGTGTGAGAGAGCGGTGTGAGAGAGCGTGTGTGAGAGCGTGTGTGTGTGAGAGAGCGTGTGTGAGAGCGTGTGTGTGAGAGCATGTGTGTGAGAGAGCGTGTGTGGGAGAGCGTGTGTGAGAGCGTGTGTGTGTGAGAGAGCGTGTGTGAGAGAACGTGTGTGAGAGAGCGTGTGTGAGTGAGAGCGTGTGTGAGAGCGTGTGTGTGTGAGAGCATGTGTGTGAGAGAGCGTGTGTGAGAGAGCGTGTGTGAGAGCGTGTGTGTGTGAGAGAGCGTGTGTGAGAGCGTGTGTGTGAGAGAGTGTGGGTGAGAGCGTGTGTGTGTGAGAGCGCGTGTGTGAGAGCGCGTGTTTGAGAGCGTGTGTGAGAGAGCGTGTAGGAGAGAGCGTGTGTGAGAGAGCGTGTGTGAGAGAGCGTGTAGGAGAGAACGTGTGTGAGAGCGTGTGTGAGAGAGCGTGTGTGAGAGCGTGTTGAGAGAGTGTGAGTGTGTGTGAGAGCGTGTGTGAGAGAGCGTGTGTGAGAGCGTGTGTGAGAGAGCGTGTAGGAGAGAGCGTGTGTGAGAGCGTGTAGGAGAGAGCGTGTGTGAGAGCGTGTTGAGAGAGCGTGTAGGAGAGAGCGTGTGTGAGAGCGTGTTGAGAGAGTGTGAGTGTGTGTGAGAGCGTGTGTGAGAGAGCGTGTGTGAGAGCGTGTGTGAGAGAGCGTGTAGGAGAGAGCGTGTGTGAGAGCGTGTAGGAGAGAGCGTGTGTGAGTGAGCGTGTGTGAGAGCGCGTGTGAGAGCGTGTTGAGAGAGTGTTTGTGTGTGTGTGAGAGAGCGTGTGTGTGTGTGTGTGTGTGAGAGAGCGTGTGTGAGTGAGAGCGTGTGTGAGAGAGCGTGTAGGAGAGAGCGTGTGTGTGTGAGAGCGTGTGTGTGTGTGTGTGAGAGCGTGTGTGAGTGAGCGTGTGTGAGAGCGTGTTGAGTGTGTTTGTGTGTGTGTGTGGAGAGCGTGTGTGTGTGTGTGAGAGAGCGTGTGTGTGTGTGTGTGAGAGGGGCGTGTGTGAAAGCGTGTGTGTATGAGAGCATGTGTGTGTGTGTGAGAGGGTGTGTGTTTGTGAGAGCGTGTGTTTGTGAGAGCGTGTGTGTGAGAGAGCGTGTGTGAGTGAGAGCGTGTGTGTGAGAGAGCGTGTGTGAGTGAGAGCGTGTGTGTGAGAGAGCGTGTGTGAGAGAGCGTGTGTTTGTGAGAGCGTGTGTGTGAGAGAGCGTGTGTGAGTGAGAGCGTGTGTGTGTGAGAGCGTGTGTGAGAGCGTGTGTGTATGTGTGTGAGAGAGCGTGTGTGAGAGAGCGTGTGTGTGTGAGAGCGTGTGTGTTTGTGAGAGCGTGTGTGTGAGAGAGCGTGTGTGAGTGAGAGCGTGTGTGAGTGAGAGCGTGTGTGTGTGAGAGCGTGTGTGTGAGAGCGTGTGTGAGTGAGAGCGTGTGTGAGAGCGTGTGTGTTTGTGTGTGAGAGAGCGTGTGTGAGAGAGCGTGTGTGTGTGAGAGCGTGTGTGTGAGAGAGCGTGTGTGAGTGAGAGCGTGTGTGAGTGAGAGAGCGTGTGTGTGTGTGTGAGAGAGCGTGTGTGAGTGAGAGCGTGTGTGAGTGAGAGCGTGTGTGAGTGAGAGCGTGTGTGAGTGAGAGAGCGTGTGTGAGAGAGCGTGTGTGTGTGTGAGATAGCGTGTGTGAGAGAGCGTGTGTGTGTGTGAGAGAGCGTGTGTGTGTGTGTGTGAGAGAGCGTGTGTGAGTGAGAGCGTGTGTGAGTGAGAGCGTGTGTGAGAGCGTGTGTGAGTGAGAGCGTGTGTGAGTGAGAGAGTGTGTGTGTGTGTGTGAGAGAGCGTGTGTGAGTGAGAGCGTGTGTGAGTGAGAGCGTGTGTGAGTGAGAGAGCGTGTGTGAGAGAGCGTGTGTGTGTGTGAGATAGCGTGTGTGAGAGAGAGTGTGTGTGTGTGAGAGAGCGTGTGTGTGTGTGTGTGAGAGAGCGTGTGTGAGTGAGAGCGTGTGTGAGTGAGAGCGTGTGTGAGAGCGTGTGTGAGTGAGAGCGTGTGTGAGAGCGTGTGTGAGTGAGAGCGTGTGTGAGAGCGTGTGTGAGAGCGTGTGTGAATGAGAGCGTGTGTGAGAGCGTGTGTGAGTGAGAGCGTGTGTGAGAGCGTGTGTGAGTGAGAGCGTGTGTGAGAGCGTGTGTGTGAGAGCGCGTGTGAGTGAGAGCGTGTGTGAGAGCGTGTGTGTGAGAGCGTGTGTGAGTGAGAGCGTGTGTGAGAGCGTGTGTGTGTGAGAGCGTGTGTGAGTGAGAGCGTGTGTGAGAGCGTGTGTGTGAGAGCGTGTGTGAGAGCGTGTGTGTGAGAGCGTGTGTGAGAGCGTGTGTGTGAGAGCGTGTGTGAGTGAGAGCGTGTGAGAGAGCGTGTGTGAGAGCGTGTGTGAGAGCGTGTGTGAGAGAGTGTGTGTGAGAGCGTGTGTGAGAGCGTGTGTGTGAGAGAGCGTGTGTGAGAGCGTGTGTGAGAGCGTGTGTGAGAGCGTGTGTGTGAGAGAGCGTGTGTGAGAGCGTGTGTGAGAGCGTGTGTGTGAGAGCGTGTGTGAGAGTGAGTGTGTGAGAGAGCGTGTGTGAGAGCGTGTGTGAGTGAGAGCGTGTGTGAGTGAGAGCGTGTGTGAGAGCGTGTGTGAGAGCGTGTGTGTGAGAGCGTGTGTGAGAGTGAGTGTGTGTGAGAGCGTGTGTGAGAGCGTGTGTGTGAGAGAGCGTGTGGAGAGCGTGTGTGAGAGCGTGTGTGTGAGAGCGTGTGTGAGAGTGAGTGTGTGAGAGAGCGTGTGTGAGAGCGTGTGTGAGAGTGAGAGCGTGTGTGAGTGAGAGCGTGTGTGTGTGAGAGCGTGTGTGTGTGTGTGTGAGAGCGTGTGTGAGAGCGTGTGTGAGAGCGTGTGTGAGAGCGTGTGAGAGAGCGTGTGAGAGAGCGTGTGTGAGAGCGTGTGTGAGAGCGTGTGTGAGAGCGTGTGTGAGAACAAGGCGTGCGTGTTAGAATGCGTGCGAGGGAGTGTGTGTGTGTGAGAGAGTCTGCGTTGTGTGTGTGTGTTAGCGTGCGTGTGTGAGAGCATGTGTGAGTGTGTGCGGTGCATGTGTGTGTGTGAGTGTGTGTGTGATCGTATGTGTGTGTGCTGTCACCTTGGTGATGTACATTAGTTGTGATGCTACAGCAGAACCTAAGGCTCAGTGTGTGTACCTGTTGTGTGTATGTGTGTATGTGCTGACGGCTGTTTTCAGACGCAGCAAAAGGCAAAAATATGTAAGAAAAACCAGGCTGTGAGTGACTTTAATCAGACTGACGCCCTTTTGATGGGAGCGGAACACAAGAAGGAAAGTGCTGATGGCGGCCGCAGGCTCCACGCCATCTGCCGCCGAACACACACGGCGCTTTGTGACGGCGCTGGACGTGGAGCACATTAAACAGATACTGGAGGTGATGTGCTGAGTGTGCGCCTGTATCCCCGCGGTACACCCAATTACTGTGTCTCCAAGGCTGTGTGCGGCTGTGTGTGCGGCTGTGTGCGGCTGTGTGTGTGTGAGGCCGTGTGTGTGTGGCTGTGTGTGCGGCTGTGTGTGAGGCTGTGTGTGTGAGGCTGTGTGTGCGGCTGTGTGTGAGGCTGTGTGTGTGAGGCTGTGTGTGAGGCTGTGTGTGTGCGGCTGTATGTGAGGCTGTGTGTGTGGCTGTGTGTGAGGCTGTGTGTGTGAGGCTGTGTGTGAGGCTGTGTGTGTGGCTGTGTGTGCGGCTGTGTGTGTGAGGCTGTGTGTGCGGCTGTGTGTGCGGCTGTGTGTGTGAGGCTGTGTGTGCGGCTGTGTGAGGCTGTGTGTGAGGCTGTGTGTGTGCGGCTGTATGTGAGGCTGTGTGTGTGGCTGTGTGTGAGGCTGTGTGTGTGAGGCTGTGTGTGAGGCTGTGTGTGCGGCTGTGTGTGAGGCTGTGTGTGCGGCTGTGTGTGCGGCTGTGTGTGTGAGGCTGTGTGCGGCTGTGTGTGTGAGGTTGTGTGTGCGGCTGTGTGTGAGGCTGTGTGTGAGGCTGTGTGTGCGGCTGTGTGTGCGGCTGTGTGTGCGGCTGTGTGTGCGAGGCTGTATGTGCGAGGCTGTGTGTGCGGCCTCAGTCAGGTGCAGGTGTGTCAGCTGTCAACCACCATCGAGGAAGTTACAGACGTCAGGATTCTATTTTATTATTCATTCATTTGTACTTTTATCTGTATTTTATTCTGTAAATGTAAATGTCCACATAATCCCAGATATGAATATTCGTGAGCACCTATATCCAGATTACTCTATACTCACAATATTATCTTATTATTCTTATTTTCAGATTGTTACTTTAATGTTATTTTAATGTCAAATACTAGGACATTTCCCTGAGGATCAATCAAAGTCTGTCTAAGTCTAAATTCTAACAGACTTATATAGACTCATTCACAGGCAGATTTATGTAGGATTTTTGGCTATTGAAATAATATCTGGTGTGAGAGGTTAAAGATTCTTTTACCTGTAACTTTAAACTGCTTTAGTGAAAAAGGACGAAATACATGAGTACATTTTCTGTATATTTGACCGTCTATAAGTATATTTTCTTCCTGGTCTCTGTTTCTCTGATTAGGCGGCTGTGGACGGCTGTGGACAGCTGTGGACGGCGGTGGACGGCGGTGGACGCCTGTGGACGGCGGTGGACGCCTGTGGACGGCGGTGGACGCCTGTGGACGCCTGTGGACGGCTGCGGACAACCTGTGGACGGCTGTGGACGGCTGTGGACGGCGGTGGACGCCTGTGGACGGCGGTGGACGCCTGTGGACGCCTGTGGACGGCTGCGGACAACCTGTGGACGGCTGTGGACGGCGGTGGACGCCTGTGGACGGCTGCGGACAACCTGTGGACGGCTGTGGACGGCTGCGGACAACCTGTGGACGGCGGTGGACGCCTGTGGACGCCTGTGGACGGCTGCGGACAACCTGTGGACGGCTGTGGTATATGCACAGGCGATGTTCCTGAGTGCGCAGCTTGTGGTTGAGCCAATTATTCATCTCTGTTCCTGAAGCAGCCGTGTTTGCCGGCGGCGCAGTCTTAACCCGCGGTGAGGGGTTGCCAGGTTCACCGAGCTTCTCCGTTGTCAGCATTCGAGCTCCTCAGCCCTGCCTTTGATACCGAGCGGGGGTCACAGGGTGTGGAGGAGCACCCCTGGGGGTCTCCCTACAGAGGTGCCACGTGGAAGGCATTACCCAAAGTCACCTCTGTGCATAATAACCAGCTGCTGACCAATCAAAGAGCGGCTTCTATGCATAAGGATGTGATATCGACTGTTTTTTTCCCCAAAGGAGACAGAACCAAGACTGATCTAGCCTGGTCTTATCCATCCGTACTCTCTGGTCCATCATGTCCTGCCTGTAACGTCTGGGTCTGGTCCCTGTATTTGCGATTACAAACGGATGAATTCCATCCGACCAATCAGAGAGCGCGGGAGGCGGGTGTTGTAGTTAGATGTGGGTGACGTCAAGAGTTTACGCCGAACGGGCAGGTTGTAGTTTGGCGAAGAATGTGACAGTAAAGTATTCTGGTCTGGTTCTATCAAGAAACTGAAGCCGGAGCAAGAGGAATGTTTAGCAAATGTAATCGCTGCAAAGATTGTGGCGCTACTCCCCACGGGCTCCGTTAGCTGCAAAGGAGATGGCTAAAGCTAGGCTAAATGCTAAATCTAGGCTAAATGCTTCACTCACTCGGGCTTATTACATACGTCACGGTAAACTCAGATCCAGACCTTAGTATGAAATGTAATTTGTACTATGGTGTGGTACGACCAGGCTGAGACTGATCTGCCGATGTAGGAATAATACTGTATTTAAACTATTGTGTCTGAACCATCTGTGGCAACAAAAGTTCTTTCAAAACACATTTGAGATTCACTTTGGCACTTAAAGACGCTTTTAGCATAAATTAGCCGCTTAATGGCAAAGCTCTCAGCTCTAATTAATGGATGTATGTGAACAGATTTGTCACAGAAGAAGTCACAATTATTGGGTTAAAGTTTCCAGATTAGGGCGACAGTAGCTCAGTTGGTAGAGCATTGGCCTTTGGCCCTGAAGGTCGTGGGTTCGAGCCCACCGTAAGACCTACTTCACGACTCCCACTGATGACTGCTGTTGTTGTGTCCTTGGGCAAGACACTTAACCCTACTTTGCCCAAAGCCCCAACTGAAAGATCTCAGCTCCTGTGGACTCACCACCTGCAGGAGGATCAGTGAGGGGCTGGTGCTCTGTGACTGGGTGCAGCTCTGACTGCCACCCCCCCGACCCAGAAATGGATTAAGGGGAAGAAAATGGATGGATGGAAGTTTCCAGATGAGTCTCACAAAATAAATGACTTTTGAAACAGATTCAGAAGTGTTTAAATGTATAGGTGAAAATGGGGAACAATTGAAATATGGTTCAAAAGTCAGTTTTCTGTAATTCACCTTACAATGTGAATTATATATATGATTATTATTATTAAATTACACCCAAGGCGAGCCATTGTTATATCAAGCCATTTTTGTTAAAGCAGCTTGAAATAACCACAAATACTACAAAGGTCACATGGTCAAAATACACATTATTATAGAAAATGAAATATACTGAAGCTACAGACATCACCTTAAAGACGGACTTCCAGTTTGGGAGTTTTAATGTAACTACTCTGTCACTTCAAAGGTTTATCGGAGGATTTTCACAAACTTTAAATCCCGCCCTCTTCATTTTGTGATCAAAACTCTCTGGTCTTATTGGACGGGACCAGAATGATTGACAATTGGGACCAATAGTCTTGACCCGGAAGTAGAAAATCCTCCTACATACTGTATATATATATATTTTTATCACTATAACGGGGCATAATCTCCTGAAGTTTCCCTGCTGTGGGAGGAATATAAGATCTCTTAATCTATCAAATGTGTTTATTTTCATATATAAGGCACACCTGATTAAGATAAAACTTTATTGATCTCACACAGGAGAAATTTACATGTCACATTGGCAAGGATAGGAACACTCAAGAATTGTGCAAAAGTAAGAAATGTGCAGATTATAAGGTTCATAGTTGAAATTAGGTAACTTTATGCGCCTAATAGTGTGAAAAATACGGTACCTTTAAATACACAAACTTAATTCATTCAAAACCCTCTGCTCCGTGTTATCATGTGTTGGTCTAATGCTCTCATAACAATGTCATTCAGAGCAGTTACAGTTGAGATAAGCACAGACTGAAGTGATTTGTGTCCAGAGGAAAAACACTTCATAATAAAATCTGACCGGATACTGTTGGTGTCGGGGACTGGGATAAGGACATGGCACCTTGTTTTTAAGATTTAGATTTGCATAACAACATTACATTAGGACGACAGTGGCTGAGGTATAAAGCATTGCCCTTTGATCCTGAAAGTTGTGGGTTCGATTCCACCACCCGTCCGCTGCCCTTGTACAGTAGTAGTTTATCACCACCGTGTTTGTAGAGAAAGTATCATGATGTGAAGAGAGTGTCCTGAAAAAGCGCTGTATAAAACCTCTGCATTATTATTATTGTTATTATTTGAATGCTCTCCGTGTGAAAACCAAAGCAATAAACTTCACACTATTTTTTGGTGTTATTTTGTTATTTCGACTCAAATTGAGGAGAGCAGAAGCGTGGAAGCTCCGGAGAATGACAGGCCGTGGTGGGAGCCGCGAGCGTGATTTCCATAAAGACTGGTTGTTGTCTGAAAGCAAGCAGCTGTCAGCCGGAATTACCTATCCGACACAGACACCACAATCGAGGGCGCCCTTTCCCATAATTCACTCTGATTGGCTCAAGGAGGAAATGGCAGCGTGGGGAGAGAGAGTGCAAGCGGGCGAGCGTTTGACAGGCTTCACGCCGGCGGAAGCGAGGCGCGGCGTTTACCTGCTATCAGTCTGTCTGGCGGAGGGGGAGCGAGGCTAAATAACACAGGATACAGCGCATCAGAGAGAGGCCGATCCACAGCCGTCGTCTCGAGTCGAGTGTGACTCTGAAAACAGACGCTGTACGTGAGTAATGTCTATACACAGAATATCTACATATGTTCAGTTCCGCGGGGGGCCAAGCTCAGCGAAACACATCCTTTTCTATTCACACGTTTTAGAATCCTATCTCCATTTCACTGTTCTACGGAAGGCAAGTCTAGGAAAGGCAAGTTTTATTGTATAGCACAACAGATTCTATTTTCTGTGCAAACTGGCTTCCATAAAGGGCTGATTGTGATTCTTAGCCAACGAAGAGGCAGCACAAAAAAGTATTATAATTAAATACTCCATTGCTTTTGTCCAAACAGAAGAGTCTTGTCAAAGTCAGACATTTGCATTGGAGCATAGTCCCTGTGAGTCACTATTTGGGACTCTGTGTGGTCTCATCAGGGGGCTCAGGTCTGCAGGTGAGTGGCAGCAGGGGGCTCAGGGGGAAGTGTCCTTTAGGTGTCTTCATTATGAGCCTCTCCTCCCTCTGTCCCTTGGGCGAGCAGGACAAAAGCAAAGGCAGTGTTTCATCTGTAGCCGTGGTATTTGCCGGTCCCAGGGGGAGAGGGTGGGGGGAGAGAGAGGGAGAGGGGGGAGGCAAAACGTCCAGCTACAAGAACACCAGAGACGGCAAATCAAAAGCGCCGCTGCAACCTTTCCATCGCCGCATTAAAAGGAAGAGAAGTCAAAAGTGTGCTTCGATAAAAACAAGAATATATTTGGAATCAGTTTTGGTTCAACTACAAAGACAGTGTCCGTGGGCGGCGGCGAACAACTGACTGTTTATCTTAAAATGTAAAACCAAAGAGTTCTGTCTGAGAGATCGAAGTCAATCTGTGGCCATTTCTGTCAATTATATTTTCTTTTGGATAAAAATTGTTAGGGTTTGAGTCCACCACAAGACCTTCTCCACCGACTCCCACTGATGACTGCTGTCCTTGTGTCCTTGGGCAAGACACTTAACCCCACTTTGCCTGAAGCCCCCTCTGACAGCTCCAGGCCATGCTCTCACAGACGGAGGATCAGGGGCTGGGGTCTGTGGACTGGGTGCAGCTGATAACAAACCTCCCCGACCCAGAAATAGACAAAGGGGAAGAAGATGGATGGATGATGAATTATTGAGTGTTGTGTGAGATTATTAAAGATGGAAAAGTTCAATCAATCTACAAACCATATTTTTTACATCCTGGGACCAACCGAACGCCACAGGAACAGCTCATGTCAGAAACGATAAACAAAACAAATACACTTTGAATAATTGTCAATTAACCATGTATGGGATACCTCCAAATGTGTCCAAAACAACACCTTAACACGCCGACGCACACGGACCACATCGGTTAATTATTGAGGCCGACAAATTGTGCTCATTGGAGTTTTGGCGGTGGCCATAGTGGGCATGAATATAAATGTGCGTATGAAAAAGATATTAGGCTAAAATGAAGCAAAATGGGGTCTAGCCGGCGGAGGCGACGGACTGATGCGATCGCTACCTGGTAAGGAGGCATTAGAGGGATGTGGAGGCAGTCTATAAAGGAAAACGGCTTCTTAATGTCTCTCACAAGTGTGATAAAAGCACAAAGCCACGCCGCACAACGATGGCCTTTTCCATTTATGTGAAACCAACAAGCGGACGCTCAGAATAAATGCTAATAGAAAATGATTTTGCAAATGGCTCGGCGCAAACAAACAATCTTAAAAAGGTCATGTCTTTTTGTGCTGGGACATAAGGCCTCTCCAATGGAAATATTGACTGTGGAAAAGGCGTCCAGATGCAAAGTATGGTTTTCAAATGGGCCAATGCAAAGTGCAGCCGAGTGATCTGTATTCTGTCCGGCTGCGCTCTTATAAATATTGGAAGAAGGACACCGGTGCGAGAGGAAACAGGAAAATGGTGCGTTTGAGAGATGGCCCACCTGAGCTCCGAGTCAAACACCATCTCCTGCCGTCACATCTCATCCCATTTGATCAAAATAATTGCCACCTTCATCGTTATCATCAATTCTGTCGTCTTCAGCGGTGCCAGTGCCAGCCTCCATCTCATCAGGGCGTCTTTAGCTCAGATGGGGGGATCTCTGCGGCTCGCACCTCCCCATCCACGCACTGTACCGTAGTCATCACCATATTCATTACTTCTAATGCGATGACATTTGGCTCACCTATTCTGATATTCTGACATGAGGAGATCTGCGGCTCAGGCAGGAGGGTCAGGGTTTAGTGGCTCAGTCTGGGTCCGTCTAAAGTCCACTGCTCTGGGTTCCCTCAGACTCCATGAGAGTAAAGTAAGTAAGTAAGTAATGTTTATTTATACAGTGCATTTTACAGACCAAGGTCAGACCCAAAGCACTTTCCAATGTTCAGAGTCAGATATTGTTCCAATCCTTCCACACACGGTGATGACAGAAGCGAGTCCAGAACACACTGGACCATCAAAGCCTCTGACCCAACACCATCATTCACTCTCTCATTTACATTCAGACCTATTGTGCATGTTTTTAGTGGTAGGGGAAAACGGAGCACCCGGAGGAAACCTACACAAACACGGGGAGAACATGCAAACTCCACTCAGAAAGACCCTGTTCTGACCAGGATTCGAACCCAGGACCTTCTTGCTGAGAAGCGAGAGGGCTAACCACTCAGCCACCGTGCCGTAAAGAATGAGGCTTACTCTGAAAATAAAACTAAAGTTGTGTATTCAAAAACAACAGCTGGTTGGATTAACAATGAACAAAATGCTTTCCAATTTTATCTGTAACTGCAATTTACACAGACTGCTAATATTTGTCTTATTGAAATAATCTAGACAAGAAAAACATATGTTTGAGTCAGTGAAGTATCTGATCACTCGTGTTTACAAGTGCAGACACACATTTGCTCATTAGTCGTATTTGTTCCGGTCGCGGTGAACCACACATTTCTCCAATGTTTGAAATACTGCGTCTGGTTCTGTGTAAGTCACTTCTCTGTGAAGTGAAGAAATAGCCGCTCTCATCTGCTTCCACTTTAGAGGCTTATGAAGGAGAAACAGGTCCCTTATACTAAAGTCTGTGCACACGGCTCCATAACAACACAACCACACACTTAGTCATGTAACAGACTCTCATGAGCTGCTCCTGTCACACAGTGAGAGTGACACACACCAGAGCTACACAACAATCTGCAACACGCCACATTTAAGAGACAAGCAAATCCAAGAGAACTAGTTTGTCATTAAACATAAAAGCCTTCGGTAAAATGACACGCAGTAAAAACGTGTTTATGACAGAAACAGTGCCCTCTGATCCACTAGAGGGCACATCCAGTAACCACTCGGAGTTCACCGACAACGACACACACCTCCAGCCGCACACAGAGGGAGCAGTCTTACCTTGGCCATTTGGGCCTGGACCCCAGTGGCTTTGAGAGATGACACGGCCTTCTGCGCTGCAGCCGGGCTGTCAAAGTCCACAAAGCCATAGCCTGCAGAGGACACAGAGAGTTAGAGGCGAACAAGGAGAAGGACGCACACATGTAGCTGTAGCAGTAACAGTGAGTATGCACACGTGTAGCTGTAGCAGTGAGTATGCACACGTGTAGCTGTAGCTGTAGCAGTGAGTATGCACACGTGTAGCAGTGAGTATGCACACGTGTAGCAGTGAGTATGCACACGTGTAGCTGTAGCAGTAAGTATGCACACGTGTAGCAGTGAGTATGCACACGTGTAGCAGTAACAGTGAGTATGCACACGTGTAGCTGTAGCAGTGAGTATGCACACGTGTAGCTGTAGCAGTAACAGTGAGTATGCACACGTGTAGCTGTAGCAGTGAGTATGCACACGTGTAGCTGTAGCAGTGAGTATGCACACGTGTAGCTGTAGCAGTGAGTATGCACACGTGTAGCTGTAGCAGTAACAGTGAGTATGCACACGTGTAGCTGTAGCAGTGAGTATGCACACGTGTAGCTGTAGCTGTATCAGTGAGTATGCACACGTGTAGCAGTGAGTATGCACACGTGTAGCTGTAGCAGTGAGTATGCACACGTGTAGCTGTAGCAGTGAGTATGCACACGTGTAGCTGTAGCAGTGAGTATGCACACGTGTAGCAGTGAGTATGCACACGTGTAGCTGTAGCAGTGAGTATGCACACGTGTAGCAGTAGCAGTGAGTATGCACACGTGTAGCTGTAGCAGTGAGTATGCACACGTGTAGCAGTGAGTATGCACACGTGTAGCTGTAGCAGTGAGTATGCACACGTGTAGCTGTAGCAGTGAGTATGCACACGTGTAGCTGTAGCAGTGAGTATGCACACGTGTAGCTGTAGCAGTGAGTATGCACACGTGTAGCTGTAGCAGTGAGTATGCACACGTGTAGCTGTAGCAGTGAGTATGCACACGTGTAGCTGTAGCAGTGAGTATGCACACGTGTAGCTGTAGCAGTGAGTATGCACATGTGTAGCTGTAGCAGTGAGTATGCACACGTGTAGCAGTAGCAGTAACATGAGCAGACGCTGACACTTGTCTCCTGAGCTCGACACTGTTTGATCATTAGTGACACTGATGCACAGAGGAAGTTATGCATCTTAATTAGTAACATGGATGAGCAATTTAGTCATAACAAACTACCACCCTACCTGCGCACACACACACACACAACATGCACACACTCACACACACTCGCTACATGCACAGACTCACACACATCCACATTACGTAGCGCCACACTCAGCACTAATGGCGTCTCACAGTTTTGTTTGAGCAGAGGCTCAAATTCATATCTGCCTCATTTGGCCTCACAGCCTCCATCATCCGTAACTAATCTGTCAGTCCTCTCATACATACAGACGCACACAGACAGATACAGACGCACACAGACAGATACAGACGTATACAGACTTATAAAGACGCAGACAGACGTATACAGATGCAGACAGAGCCAGACAGACGCAGACAGACGTATACAGATGCAGACGGACTAATACAGACAGATGTATACAGACACACACAGATGTATACAGACACATACAGACACACAAAGATAGATACAGACACACACAGATAAATACAGATAAATACAGACACACACAGATAAATACAGACACATACAGACACACAAAGATAGATACAGACACACACAGATAAATACAGATAAATACAGACACACACAGATAAATACAGACACATACAGACACACAAAGATAGATACAGACACACACAGATAAATACAGATAAATACAGACACACACAGATAAATACAGACACATACAGACACACACAGATAAAGACAGATAAATACAGACACACACAGAGACACATACAGACACACAGACACACACATGTCCCTGCAGCTTGTCCTTCCGGTCGCTGCACCTCTGTATATCGCAGCTCGTCGCATACATCGTGACATTAACGACCCTCAGCCCCATCTGGAAAATCATCAGCGGCAAATGAAAAGTGTAAGTGTGATTTATGAGTTATTGTGCGCCCTGCGTTCTGCGGGACGTATCCAGAGCGGGGTCACGGCCGTGTTAATTAAAATTCGGAGGCGGATTAAAAGCAGTCAATGGTGCCCTCTGATCTGCTGTTTCAGAGGAACGTGTAATTAGAAACGGATAAGGTGACATGGCTGTGGTGATGCCCTGCCGTCTCCATGGAAACGCAGGCTCACAGAGAAGTTACATAGAGCCCCTTTAATCGGGTCCAGAGCTGGGACTCACAGCACGATCCAGCTTCATATCACCGTGGATTAGAATAAAACATAATTTATCTAAACTGCAAATGAATGAGTCAGTCTTGACTGACAAACACAGACATAACACAGACGTCGCCATTTTAATTTACATTTTATATAATGAGATAAATTCACTTTTCTGAAGAGTGGCGTCTGTCAGTCTCAGGCACCACTGGGTTTTTTAGATTCTTTCCTCGGTCTAATGTAACGCCTTGTTATTTGTATATTTACCTTTCTCCTGTAAATATTGAGAGTCGGCTTGTTGTGTCTTCTTCAACTGTAAAACTGTGAGAATCTGGTCCAAGTGGCAACAAAAAATGATTCTGATTCTGATGTGTCAAAGTGAGACGGCAGAACTCATAATAATAATATATTTAACTTAGAATATTTATTTTTGACACAACTGCAGCAAACAGTCCAGTCCTTTGGGTGTGTCTCCTCAATAAGGTTCACCTGTGAGCCGTTAGCATTGTGACTCCACCCACAGGAGACAAAATGGCCGACAAGGACACGGCCCTTTCTACAGGTAAACAGTGCATTAATAAAAAGTGGCATTCGAAGAGGACAAAGTATAACTCACAATGACTTTCTGTTGGATCTAAATCTGAAATGTCTGAATCAGAGAGACTTCTGAAGGAGAACAGGGAGCATGTTTCTGTCTGAGTGATTCTATCTGTGCCAAATGTGGCGTGGACATTTCTCCATCAGAGATCAATAAAGTTTATCTAATCCTAATTGAATTGTAAGATTGCAATCACTTCATTGATCTCTGGAAACAAAAAAAGCAAACTTTCTTTCACTTTAACCAATTACAGCTTTCTTTCTATCCAGGATCAAAGCACAGATGTTGGACTCTGGCCTGAAGCCTACAGACCTGGTCCTGGTTCTGTTCAGTCCAGTTCTGTCCTGGGTGTTACAGTGGGTGTCACGGTGGGTGCAGGTGGGTGCAGGGCTGGTGGGTGCAGGTGGGTGTTTCAGTGGGTGCTGGTGGGTGTTTCAGTGGGTGTCACGGTGGGTGCTGGTGGGTGTTTCAGTGGGTGCTGGTTGAGCCGGAGCGGGTCATTATCTGGTTCGATGGCGCTGGACGAGTGTAATGTGAAAATCATAACCTTCGGAGCTGAGTGCGGCTGATTAATGAGCAGCTGTTGGAACGGAGCGAAGAGAAGAGGCTTAAACGTACAAATATGAAGAGAGAAAAACCCACGGTCACAACACGCCACAAAATGGACGCTTTGATGTTGGAAAACTGTGATTTTACCTCAAACTTTATACTTTCTTTGGGAGAGGTGTAGGGTCAGAGAGTGTTTGGGCCTGTGTTGTCAGAGTGTGTGAGTTTTGTGTAGTTAAAAACATACAATCCTCAGTTGCAGCTGAATTGAACTGGATCTAACCATTGTCAGAGGAGAAGCCTGTCTCACATTGTCAGGAAGATGGGTCCATTGTGGAAATGACCGTAACCTCAAGATCATATGTTTAAAACTAGCTACACTTAACTGTTTATTTTAAGTTTTCTTCTTTTTTTTTCCTTCTTTGAGAGTCCAAAAAAGAAGTATATAAGTACAATGTATTATTATTATTATATATATTTGATTCGTTCATCCACAATGAACATTTTATTCTTTGTCCAAAATATAAAAGAGGTCAAATATTTGGTTTAAAAACAAATGAAATGTGTTTTGTTACGACGCCTTCGGGGCTGAGGCCACTTCTTGTTTAATAAAAGTGATATTTGAAGCTTGGATATTGGGGACCCTCAATTATAAATGTAATATTCATCCACGACCACCTGGAGTGCACTTCCCGCACTGAGGAAGACGAGGATTTGGGAGAACGCTCTGACCTATATTCAGATTCTGAGACGAAGGAGAGTCAGGGCCAGGACCAAGCAAACAGGGTCAACACACACTCTGTGCACTTTACACTGGGTTTGTGTGTTTTTAATGCACTCAGACTGTGACGGGGAAAAGATATGAGAAGGAGAAGAAGAAGGAGAAAGAGAAGGAGGAGAACATTGTGGGAACATTGTAGTTTTTGATAAAAACATTTCCTGTTGTATTTGAAGTTGGTCTCTCTCTCTCTCTCTCATGTGCATACTCGTAGTAGACGCACACAGAGAGACGCACACAGACACACGCACAGACACACACACACACACACAGACAGACACACACACAGACACACGCACAGACAGACACACACACACACACACACACACACACAGAGACGCACACAGACACACGCACAGACACACGCACAGACACACAAAGAGACGCACACAGACACACGCACAGACACACAGAGAGACGCACACAGAGAGACGCACACAAACACACGCACAGACACACACACACACACAGACTCTCATAGAAGTATAAAGGGAACATGAGCTGCCATATCACATTTCCCGCTCGGCCTTAACAGTGAGTCTGTCGAGATAAAAGGACTCTCTTCAATCACTCACTACGACTGTTACTGTTACTGCTGCTACTGCTACTGCTGCTACTGCTGCTACTGCTACTACTGTTACTGCTGCTACTGCTACTACTGGTACTGCTACTACTGTTACTGCTGCTACTGCTACTACTGGTACTGCTACTACTGTTACTGCTGCTACTGCTACTACTGGTACTGTTGCTGCTACTGCTACTACTGTTACTGCTGCTACTACTACTACTGCTACTGTTACTGCTGCTACTGCTACTACTGGTACTGTTGCTGCTACTGCTACTACTGCTACTACTGCTACTGCTGCTAC